TAGGGACATCGTGATTTAGTACAGCTGGGTGAAGAGGAGTGCCAACTCATTTGCGGATGGGTTGGCCAAGCAAGGAGTGAATAGGGAGGCTGTTTTTTGGGCCAGTTTTTAATTTTTTCTTTGCATTCCCCGTGTTTTCTGTTTTCTGTTTTTGGGGAGCTAAGTTATTTTATCTCCCCCTTTGTATCTTTACTCCTTCTCTTCCCTTAATTTAATGAAGATGATGTTATTGATAAAAAAAAAAGATGTATGGAAGAATATTGTGATGAAAGAGTTAGAATTTGATGAATGGGATTGATGTTGTTCTGTACCTGTATCAATTGAACTCAGCCTTAATCCCAACCATTTGGGTCCAACTGGTTTGGCCTGTGTTCCAAAATCATAAACAAATAATACAACCCTCTTGTTGTCATTTTTCTTTTTCTTTTTTTTTTTCTTTTTATTTTTCTCATTTCTCTGTTTTTATATTTCTTTGGTGTGTGTGTGGGGGGGGGACTTCCTTAATTAGGATATTCACTAGGCAGAGAGTGGTCCAACTGGGTGCTTGAAAATGATTTTTTTTTGTCTCTTATGCTAACATTGTTAGTGGCACAACTGAAGATGAGCAGACAACAAGAAAGCTGATCTTTCCTGAAGGAGAGGGACATTGGATCCACATCCACTTGGTAGCAAAGGCCATTCTTTTGAACTGGGTTATTTAGAGGAAAGATTTTGTGATCATTGGGAAAACAATTTCTGACAATTAGGTGATTTTATATGGAGTTTCCTTTCCAATAATTGATTTTACTCTTATTAGAGAAGTATGTGGTATACTGGTACTGACAAGCAAGAACCTAGATTATAAAATGGGGGATGGTAATTGGTAACCAGGATGAGGTATGTGGTTTGACCAGTCTGAAGTTGCTCATTATATGATGTAAGGTACCAAGAATATAACCATCATACCAATTATAAAAAAAAGAATATAATCATCATAGATCATCTATTTGTCCCCTTTCTGAACATCTGCATGCTTGTGCTTGCAATATTCATGCTTCATGAGGTTACAACCTTATTCACACCAAAATGTACTTTACATGTTGAGTTTTTATCCTTTTTTCTTTGGCTTTAGTATTTTTATCACAATAGATCTAATTATGATCTGATTAGCGATCTCTAGGATGTATTCCTTCTGATTGGTCATCTCTTAGTTGTAGTGATTCTGACAGTATTAAATGGTACTAAAATGCCTGTGTGTAGAGCCTAGAGAGAAAATATCCACTTCATTTGTTCTTAATTCTTATAAATGGCAACTCTTTGATGCTTGTGCAGGAACTTTCCCTGAGATGAGATTCCATTCCTCTTCTGACAATAAGGTAATGCTTTCAGTTACTCGAGAATCTGAACCTCTTGAAGATCAAGTAGAGGTAGAGGAACCTGAGGTAGTTTCAGTGGAAGTGCAAGAGGATTTGGCAACCTGTATGAAGAGCAAAGTAAATTCTTGGACTACCGAATTAAATGAAGAATCTGAACCTTTGTGGTCAAATCAAATTGAAAATGTTAATTTGTTGAATTCATCAATGGAACGGGTTTCTATTTCAGTTGATAAATCAGCTAGTGCTGGCACTCTACAACAATTGTATATGAAGGACACAAGCAAGGAAAGTGATGGAACTGAGCTCCACAAAGGTAGTTGTTCTCTTCTGTCAGGTTTTAATTATATCCATGAGGAAATAACAAACTTATGCAGAAACGAATTTCAAGGTCATTATCATACAGATGCAAGTGCAAGGACCACATGTGAAACAAATAAGCAACGGTGGGATGACGTTTCTAGCCCTTGCAGATTGGATGATTGTATCCTTTCCGAAGAGACGAATAGTAGACCTGCAACTTTAGATGCACATTCACATGACAATCCTTGGATAAAAACAGGATCCAATGAACTGAATTTTTGCATTGGCTTTCCCATGAAATCAAGGGTTAGTTCAAGGGCTCAAAACAGCAATTCTAAGCAAAAGGAGTTTTACCTTGATGACATGTTGAGTGACTTATGTTGTCTTGCTTTGGATCCATTTTATTCTGGAAAAGAGAGTTTGAAGACCTTACGTAAGAGGTTTTTAACATACAGATGTCTGGCTTACCAGAATATTTCTGACGTCTCTTCCAAAAAAAAGTGTCCTATTGAGCTCAGTGATACTCAGGTATTATGTCATGTTAATAATGGTAGTAGTGTTAAGGCTTGGCCTAGTGTTAAGGTTGATGCTGCAGTTAACAGCATTGATATTGACCCTTTGACAATGAAAGTTGAAAAACAATTTCCAAATGATTTTTCCGTGGGTTCTCTTACAAGGTTGAGGACTCGAACCTACCCTTCCAAGGATGGCAAGATTCAATGCTTGCATGACATCCTAATATACATGCGCTGCCTTGCACTGGATCCATTCTATTCCGAGCAGGAGAGTTCAGTGTCTGTGAGCCAGAAAATTTTGATATACAGAAGTTTGGTGTACCGGAATCTTGATATTGCACCTGAAAAATATACATGTCACCGTGGTCATGAAATTGAGGCAGTCAAAACAATGGAAGTTTCTTTATTTGATTCAGCTTTACATCAATCTACTGTTACCAGGAAAAAGGAGGCTGAAGGTCATTCTGGCATTACAGTTAACAATGAGAAGTCTCAGCTCACTCCTTGTGATAAAGAAGATACTGTTGAGATGCCATCAAGTGGTAAGATCAGCAATGAGGTTTGTTGTGAGGTTATGAAAGTTGATTGCAGCTCAAGTCATGTGAAGGAACATTTTTCTGTTGAATCAGTACCCAAGGATATAGTGGAAACCAATACTTCTGGTAGGGCTGGTATTGTAAGTGATGCAGCTGCTAGGGCACCGTTACCCTCTCGTCATTGTGGTGATCTAGTTAAGATTGAGCAAAATAATGATGCTGGTGTTGTATCTAGCATGAAGGGAAATGTGAGCACAGGAAAGGTATCTGAAGATGGTTCTAATGTGAAGAAGCTTGGCCAAGAAGTTGCTCCTGATTTCTCCTCAAAGTCTGTACATTCTCTTGCTTTATTCCCACTAAATAGATTTTATGCATGTGCTTTGGAGCGTGCTGACTCGAGCAGAGAAGTCGATTGTCAAGCTTCCAATGTCTGTTCAGAGGTTCCCACTTCTTTGCATATGAAGTTCCCTAGGGACTTTAATATGCCTTCCAGGGATGAGTTGGTAAAGAAGTTTAGGCCTTTCGGGCCAATTGATCAATCAAAAACCAAGGTTTTCTTCTATACAGGTTCTGCTAAGGTCTTTTTCTTGCACCGTCTTGATGCAGTTGCTGCTTACCAATTTGCAAAGAGAAAGAAACAAATGTTTGGTGGAGCCAATGTCCGGTATTGGCTTGATCAACACGAACATGCAAGAGCAGGAACCACCAACATTTCAGCTCCATCATTATGCACAAAGGGAAAGTCAACGTCAAATCTGAAATCATGTCTTAGGACATGCAATCTGCTTGGTGAGAATGATCAGAGAAAAACACATAAAGTGAAGTTTCTGATGGAGAATAAGAATGAGACCACATCATTGGCAAACAAGGTTAAGAACAAACCTTTAGTAGCATCTGATTCTTATTATAAAGATTGTAGTGTAGGGCCAGACATTTCATTGAAAATGTTGGTACTATTGGAGAAATGCAATCAACTGGTACACAAAATTAAGGAGAAACTAGGATGCCCGTCATATTATTCAATATTTGCACAGGATTATTTCATGAATCTTGATGATTGAAGGGTATGGATCCAAGTGTCCCTTGACAATTAAGGATACCTGTTCTTTGGATCTCATGGGTTGTATTTCGTCATGATGTGTTGCTTTTGCCTCCAAGAGGACGTGAAGCCTGACGAGCTTGTAACTCTTTCTGTACAACATATTTCATGTATGTACACTCATCAGATTGTCTTCTGACCTTGTGTACACATATCATATGGCTATAGGTACATGAATAGGATATCACATTTTTTTTTTCTATCAAAGAAAAAGAAATGAAAATCCTGGTAGCTTCAATTCTCAGGCGAATCCACTATGGCTTCAAACTGCATTCATTTGTCTGAATTCAAATTCAGGAAAGGATCATCTGCATTCAATTTGTTGATAATTCTATCAGATATGGATCCATCCCTATCCAATCCAATATGATCTGATTCGATTTAATTTAAATATATATGCTCAAATGTACTTAAAACTTATATAGATAGTTTGAATGTGGTATGATTTTACTAAAGAGTCATAGGCTTAAGTTTCATTCTAGTTATTAGTTATAGATGTAAACAAGTCCTCAAATATTAGGTGTAAATTTGAATATTAGAGGGAAAAAAAGGAAGAAGATAAGTAAGAGCAGCAATACAAGAGAAGAATATGGCGAAAAGAGAAGGAAGAAGAAGAAGATTCGAATTATCTTCCCTTTCTCCTCTAATCCTTTTTATTAAGAATTAATGTTAGAATAATGACAAATATGCCCTTAAGTGGGCGGCCAGGTAGGCAGTAACATAAAGAGATTAAACAAAAAGAAATAACAAGCTCATTAAGAGATGCCCATTAGCCAATAAGAAAATAAAAGATATTAGGACCCATTTGCCCTAGTCTCTTTACACTCCCCTTCAAGTTGAACATAGATGTCAATCATGTCCATCTTGCTTATATATTGTCATTTTCCCTCTTTGAACTCCCTTGGTCAAGATATCAGTCAATTGTTTGTCCGATGTGATGAATGGCAAACAAACTTTTCCTGAGGAAACTTTCCCTTATAAAATGTCTATCAATTTCAATGTGCTTAGTTTTGTCATGTTGAACAGGATTATGTGCAATGTTGATAGCTGCTTGATTGTCACAGTAGAACATCATTGGTTTCTCGTAGTCAACCCCCAATTCTTCTAAAAGGGATCGTAGCCACAGTAATTCTGACACACCATGTGCCATTGCCCTGTATTTTGTTTCAGCTGAGGATCTAGCAACTACAAATTGTTTCTTACTCTTCCATGACACAATGTTCCTAGCGACTAAAACACAATAACCTGAGGTGAATCTCCTATCATCAATACATCCTGCCCAATCAGCATCAGTAAAAGTTTCTAGCTTCATGCGTCCATGTTTGGCATATATAATACCTTTCCCTGGAGTACCTTTCAAGTAGCACAGAACCCTTTCTACAGCAGCTAAATGAGTATCTCTAGGAGAATGCATAAATTGACTAATAACATTTACTGCATAGGAAATATCTGGCCGAGTTATGCAAAGATATAATTTCCCAAGCAGTCTCTGAAACACCCCCTTATCAGATAAAAGCTTACCATCCATAACAGAAAGCTTATGATTGGGATCAATAGGAGTGGAAATTGGTTTAGCTCCAAGTTTACCAGTCCCGGCAAGGAGGTCAATGACATATTTACGCTGAGAAATGAAGATACCATCCTTAGATCCAACAACTTCAATGCCCAAAAAATACCGAAGATCTCTCAAATCCTTGATATCAAATTTAGAGTTGAGAAATCTTTTTATTTTACTGACCTTTTGAGTGTCATTACCCGTGACCACAATATCATCAACATAAACTATCAAAAAGGTCACCAGAGAGTCATTTCTCTTCAAGAACAAGGTACGATCAGATTGAGTTTGTGTGTAGCCAAAGGAGACAAGAGCAGTCCTGAACCTTTCAAACCAAGCCCGAGGAGACTGTTTGACACCATAAATAGATTTCTGTAGTTTACACACTTTGCCTTGCATTTCCTTCCCATACACCCCTGGAGGCAAAGACATATAGACCTTTTCATGTAGGTTTCCATTCAAGAAGGCATTTTTAACATCAAACTAGTGTAGGGGTTAGTCAAAGGTAGCTACTAGAGATAACAAAACCCTGATTGAGGTCATCTTAGCTACAGGAACAAATGTCTCAAGATAACCAATACCATACATTTGAGTGTAGCCTTTAGCAACCAGCCTAGCTTTAAACCTCTCAATAGAGCCATCAGAGTGATATTTAATGGTAAACACCCATTTACAACCCACTGGTTCCTTCCCTTCAGGCAAGTCAACAATATCCCAGGTATGGTTCTTATGCAAAGCATCCAGTTCWGCCRTYATAGCATCCCTCCATTCAGGTTKAGATAAGGCTTTTGGTACGGACCTGGGTATCACGTGGGAAGAAACAAAAGCAAGAAAAGAGTAGTAGGAAGGAGAGAGAAGGCTGTAAGACAGGTGTTTGGAGATACAATGGGTTGTACACTTCTGCTTGCCCTTGCGAAGAGTAATAGGAAGGTCAAGGTCTGGGAAATATGTAAATGGGTCAGAAGAAGGCTAACTTGCTACCTTAGTAATGATGGGAGGAGCAAAAGACTCTTCTATAGGAGTGAAAACAACCTGCCCATGTTTGAATCTGTGCCTTTGGTACCACCTTTGGAGAACTAGAGGTGGAGGAATTATAGGAGAATGAAGTGGTGGAGGAGGAGGAATAGGAATATCAGAGGTAGGTCCAATGGGAGAAGTAGACACCTCATGATAGGACTCAAAAGGAATGGGATGAGGAACAACTGGAGACATAGCAAAGGGCTCTTCAGATTTCTCCCCCTCAGGAGAAATGCTAAAGAAAGGAGTCAACTCAGCAAAGGTGACATCCCGAGATACAAAACGGGTGCCACTAACTGGATCAAAACAACAATATCCCTTTTGTGTGGAAGCATATCCCAGAAAAACACATTTACGAGCCTTA